CATGTCAAACCATTCAAAAGGGGATATGACCCAATTCTGATAACTAAAATCTTTTGCTAGTAAATACACAGGATAGGGGTTAATTAACAATCAAAGAAACCAGACTTTCAAATTGAAAAACCCCCGGAATGATATTAACGACGGCATTTGTTCCCTCTTGAAACGCCGAACATACCCCGGTGTGGGCAGCTGAATATACAATGGCGTCTTATTTTGTTTACAAGCGAAAGATTCCTTTATTTTTGTATCGCTGCATTTGTCATAAAAATAAAAACATGCGCGGGTTTAGAGTGAGGCAATAGATTATACATTTAGCCTGACGGTAGTGAAGTAAGAGAAAGAACTCAAGAGAAGATGAAAACACAGGCACTGAAAATTTGTGAGATGTCATGGGACATCGTCTGCTTGGTGCAAGTCATGTCCATACTGTGATCTCACACATCTCAGCAGCGTTCAGAAAGCTCTTCAGGTGCTATGCCGGGGCTGTATTTAAGCGTTTTGTAATTAATAATTATCATTTATTCGAATTTTTCCAAGCATTTAATTTTGTTAACCTTGTCTATTCATAGTTTCAACTTTGCAATAATGAAAATAAAGTTAGTTTTTAAAATCAATGAATATCTACTTTAACTGTCTGACCTGTGTTAGTTGTTCAGGCACAGGAGGAAAGAATAACAGATTATACAATTTTGAGAAGCACAACAACACATGTTTTGACAACTGTAAAGTGAACTTCTTAGCACGATTCTGGCAAGTAAGTATGAAAATGTAGAAATGTAGAAAAGTCCCACACCCACCCCCCCCCCCCCCACAAAAAAAAAAAAGATGGGGTAGTTGCAAGGATACTGTTTGAATAACATGTTCGAAGATATAAACACGGAAGTACATTTCTTGGAAGGATTCCAGCAATGAAATATGATAATAATATACCCCCCCCCCCACCCTCACCCAAAGAGGAGATGAAATTGTAATGGTTCTCTCCAAATTATTTAAAGATTTGTATTGAAAAAAAGAAGGTAAAAGAAAAAGAAGAGAAAATGGTGTTAGCTGAAAGGTGGGAATCCAAGCAGATGCTGATAGGAATTTGAGCCTGTAATGGACCTGTTTGCTAATGCGTGCAAGCACACGTGGGGTCAGCGCTGACAGCAGGGATATGTGCTTGGCATTGCCATGCATACCCAGCCAGCCTCACCAAAGCAAAGCAAAACAAGCCAAGCAGGCCATTCCCAATCTCCTATCCCGGGGAGCGTTCCCCCATTAACCAGTTCCCACACGAGGGAGCTTTACACCTCGATATCTGCATAGGCAGTGCTGCGTGATTGCCGTTTTCAGAGAGAGGGCACCACAAAGGCAGCACAAAGCATCGAGGAGCCGTTATTAATGGCCATGTGGACACCCCCTAACCTTAATGCTGTGAAATTCAAGTCATCGCTATCAGAAATGGTTTGTCAGTGATGGATGATGTTCCTCATTTGTGGCCAATTTGTTTTACTTTTTTCTGCCAAACGCAGATGCTCCATCAGAATTCCCCTGCGACTTCCTCCAAAAAGATATATATCTGCCCGGATATAAACTTTTTTTGATATCACAAAGATCTTTGTGAATTCTTCAAGGACCATTAGAGAGGATTGATGTATTTTCTCAATTACAGTTGTCTTTAAACCATCAGAGAAGGAAATTCTAGACACTGAAAACATTTAAAATAGATAATAATCTGACTGGACTACTAATTGATGCACAGAAAATTACTCTAGGGCATGATCCATAGATTTTAGTATTACATGCAACACTTCTGTAACAAGCAATATTAAAAAAAAAAAAATGAATTTCAAGAGTAATTTGAAAATGGTTTGTTTTCTATTGCTTTTATAAGCAGCCACTGTGCAAAATTGATGGTTTTCTTTTTTTGTTGTTGAAATGACTTATCTTGGTAACTTAAACCTTACCAAAATAACTGTTTGCCTATTTTATGCTTCATGTGAGGCTTTGAGTTCTCAAATTTAGACAAATCAATTTTTGAAATGGTCCGATCACATGTGGTATGTTTTAAACAATATATTTTGTAATTTTAGATTGTAAACATAAAGCAGTTCTATGTTGGTATGTGCAGTTGGCCTCCTTGTTTCTTCGCTAATTTCTTTTTATTGTTTTATCATTATCCCATCATCATGTCATTATTATCTCATGATCTCAATCATCCTCAAACAGTGTGAGGCTGACAACTTGAGTATGCATCAGTGATAATGTCCAAAACCCTGAATTCACTGCAACACGGGAGGACTTGCCGGGCAACCGCCTCTAATAAGGGGTGCCCCTTTCCAATCTCGTAGAGAGCATGTGTTTATGAGCTCTAATACTGCTAAGTGAGGACATTTATTTGGATAGAAGGGTGGGAAAATAATCAGACGCAAGGTGCTGTTGCCACTGGTGCAATTAAATAGTAGGTTGTGCTTCGCATGTGAAGTGCAACCCCTTTGAATAGATTCCCCAGTGGTCAAAATACGTATCCATCACTCATATCCATAAATCTTGAAAGTAACACATTTTGAGCAATCGTGTGGGGTCCTATTTCAAAGGATTTGACACTGTAGTGTAACATCATCAGCTATTAAAAATGATAGAGATATTAATTTCACTTGGCTGTAGTGTAGACGTTGTTCTTGGAAACCGTGCTTTGCCCCCAAACCACAACATACGTCTACCTTTGCAGTTCTTCTTGTGTGTTTGCCATTTTATCTCTCTAGTCTGTTGTTTATAATCTTAAGGTGTACGTGCAGAGGGCAAGGCTCCTGATCAGTAGGAAGCTATACAAAGAACAAAAAAACTAATGACAATTGGAATGTTGTCTAGTCTATAATCTATCCCCCCCCCCCCCCCTGGAATCTGGCAGTGGCAATGCAAGTGCCAGCAGTCTTTTAGCTGATAGCGCTGTAGCTTATATGACTTTGCTCAAAGATTTGAAGAAGCAGAGAAAGGGGCCTCAAAAACGTATCCTACTTTTTTCGGGGGGGGGGGGGGAGGATTGAGTCTGTACTATAATTATGCCTTCACCTTGTGGATATGACCTCTAAGGAAATGCATGGAAAGTAGACATGACAAAGTTTTATAGCCCTAATAAAGCTAGGAACAGGGTGGCTAAGCTAATTGAGCCAATGGGGATGATTGGTAATAACACATGAATCGAAAGTATTGTGCTGAATGCATTAGATTACCTACCCGCACCCTTGCTCTCTTGACACGGTCCCAAGTGAACAGAGGCAACTTCTTCTACCTGTGAACTTGGGCCCCATTCAGACTTAGAAATACTAGCGTTCATACCAAGACTGGAGCAACTTATTCTCCCTGTGAACGACATGTAAGGCCCTTTCACACTCGCAAGTATGAGCATTCTTATCAAGACTGACTCAACAGATTGCTCCAGCAAGGGCCTTTGTGTTCTTTTTCATCTTAGCTTGGTGATGGGTCAGTTTGGCCTAGTTGAGACTAGTGTTGTAATATTGTTAAAATAGAGCGCTGATTTGAGACCAGTTTGGATAGTCTCCATCTTGATGCTATAACAAAAGTTTTTTTGGGGTCTTTCAGAAGACAAAGAGTTAGCACAATTCGGCTGAAAAAGAGCACGGTTAGTTCATGAGTGTGAATGGGATGTACTGTATGATCCTGGTAAACCTGATTGTCGTAATATTAGCAACATATAGAATAGGTGGTTTATTGTAGCATTGTTCATTGAGACAGAGGGAATAGGGTCAAGATCTTATTTTACCAGTATGAATGGGGTATACATCGTTTCATTCTCTATGGTTTGCCATGTTCAGAATGACTTGTTTGATGTAGGCCTAGCGTTGTTCATTCAGGATGGAGGAAAAAAGAAGTGGCAAACCAATCCAGTGCTGTTATTTCTTGTGTGTGAATGGGGGTATACATTCCTAGCAACCTGATTGATTAGCCACTTGCAGAATGGTTGTTCTGACATATTTTCCCCCCAACAAGACAGAGGAAAAGAGGGCAAGACAACTTATTTTATGAGTGTGAATGAGGCATACGTTAGAACAAACTGGCAAGCTGATTGGTTAGCCACATGCAGAATTAATGATTTGATGGAGGCGGTCAGGAACAAATCATCTGAATATCTCTTTCCCTTTCCTGAAGCACACCATGATGACATTTCAACTCATTTTGTCTGCTTTAGGGATGGTTAATGAGCCTACAGGGAAGACTAACAAGAAAACATGGAAAATTGAAAGAGTTATAAATGCTAGTAGGGAGAAAAAAACGACACTGTGAAAATATGATAATGTACGATGAACCAGCTCAGTCTGTAGAGAACCAGAGGGGTAGTGACAAACTCTTTTTAGGGGCAGAAGGATGTTAAAGATAAACTTGAGTTCTGGTAAAAAAAAAAGAAAATGAATTCTCACAGAATCTAATGAAACTTACACTGAATGTTCAAGATTACAAATAAATGTCATGTGCCAAACAATTTTGGAAGAAAATGTATACTGGCTGAGTAATAAGCATAGAAAGATAAGGAAATCAGGGTAGTACTAGCCCCGACACCATGTGTGTTGTCCCATATACATCTTTCTGTGTAAGTGATTGTTACTTTACCAAGACTCTGCCAAATTTATGATGATTTTGATGACTCCAGAACCTTGCATTACACACCATTACTTACATGCTATATGATCAACTTTTCTGATCCATTCCACACCTTTTCTTTCACAATACAATCGCATTACCAGAACTCAAGTTTATCTTTAACCTATGGAATACATTTTTAATTGTGTACGACACACGCTTTCCATAGACTCCCAAATTATTTTGGGTTAAGTATTCAGATTTTTAACTCTCTACTCTCTAGCAGATGATGTGCATATTGTAGTTCTTGTACAAAAAAAAATTCCTATCCCTAATGTAAAGAACTGGACTGGTATGGAATAAGTTAAAAGACTGAATCAGATGTTTTAAATTGTATTTCATATTTTGTCTTTAAAACACAGGTTGAGCAGTCGAGGCCGAGGAGACCAGGATGTCATAAATACCAGGTAGAAATCGATCACATCCTGGTTTCAATCTTGTATCTCAAATGAAACATCATCTCCAGGAGAAAACATAACCTGGGGGGGGGGGGGTGTTTCACAAAGACTAAGATCAAATTTGAGTTGGACTTAACTATGGCAGGCCATTCATGCCACTGTTTGCTCTCACTATTGGTGTCTCAATTATGATCTTTAGATTATTCAAAGAAAGTAAAAGTAGTTAAAAGCAGAAAGAAAAAAATGATTGGCATTTACCAAGATATAGAAAGTAATTTACGATTAATTTGTATTAAATATACATGTACCAGTTCATGTAATAGATCGTTTTCTGTGATGAACAAGTTAACTAACATATTTGAATTCAAGAATATTTCTTCAGATTAACAAAGAAAAATGTTCCTGTTATATATGGCAGCATCGCTAAGGATGGACCCCATCTTGTCTGCACACCTTAATTTAGAAGTATGCTAGGAATTTGAAAACGATTTTGAAAAGATGGAATAATCTGGTGACTGGTCTAACAGATTAAAAATCTATACAATATCCATATATCCATACTTATCCATAAAAATGACCGTTGTGAGATTGTGATTTGTAAATATCTTATATTTATCTGATAAATTTTTATCTGTTTTTTTTTAATAGTCCTTCACCCAGAACAAGAAACTCCTCCGCAGCATGGGCATGACCTCAACGTATTCTCCCGAGGAGTTTGTCGGTCTGACCACCATCGCATCATCACCATGTGAAAACAACAACCTGCCACCACCACCACCCGTAGCATTCCTTTCATCGTCATCGTCGTCCTCGTCGTCACAGCAACGACAGCAGCAGCAATGGAGCGTCATGATCACGCCCACATCCAGCCCCACCAAAGAAATGGAGGGCGTCGTCAACGAAGCGCAGAAGACCGCTGAGGAGGACATCAGCGACAACACCTGTTCGTATTGCAGCGACGACGACCACCACGACGACATCGGTGATGATGACAGTGATGCAGATACGATGACGGAGCGGGGAGCGGAGAGATTTGTTTTGGATCCTTGTAACGAGCTCGATTTAGAACAAATTGAAAAGTACTGAAATGCCCTCCATGTTTATGGAGATGAGGACAAACAGAAGAATCTAAATTCTTGTGGTATATGAAGAATGTGAGAGATGAGAGAATAATATTCAGATTTGAACCTGTCGGATGGAAATCGACAGGTCGACGTTCATTCTCAGTATTGTTTCTGATCGACTGATTTACATGAAGTTCGAAATATGGACTCTACATGTGTGAGAAAATACTGACAGTATTATGGCAAACGCAATTTGGGCGTATCATTATTTTCTTCTCATTTGTTGAAGGTATAAAATGTAAGTCAGGAGCGTTTTTTTCTTGACATAATTGAGACCAAATGGAATGATGTGATGATTAGAAGATGAAATGAAGAATAATTGACTTTCAAAATGAAATTTGTATTTTGTAGGCCTACTGTTTTTAGAACTAGCATCATAGTTCTTGAATTGTGTGAAAAGTGGCAGTACAAAATGGGAAGAAAATGACAGTAATTTTTTTTTTACAAGAATCTTTTGTTTCATGTTCACAGTGACAAGAGAAAAAAGAAAGTGCTTTAATCTTTTTAGAAACTGTCTGTATTATTGATAATAAGAGATGCGATATTTTGCTGATTTTTGGTGTGCCTATGCAAGTTTTAACAAAACAGTTTGAGAGAAGAAAAAAAATGAAACTTAGGAAAGTAGATTTTTCTGAGGTATTTAGATGAAATTGAAAGGAAAATTATGGTGCATGCTTTGCAATTATCATATGGTATTCATTAAAAACTGGTATTACTGATAGTTCTATTTCTTCAATTTTTGATGAAAATTTCTTGTGAAAAGAAAATTGACTTCAACCTGCATTTTGCAGTGTGTATCTCTATTAAAGTGAGATATAGGGAAAAGACAGGCCGTAAACCAATCAAAGATGATTTCTCAAAATAAGTGATGATATTGAGGTTTTTTTTTGTGCATTTCTAGGTCCATTTAGAATTAGGAAAAAACATGAAGAAAATATATTCAGTATCCTTAGAGCCTACTCGATTTTTAATCAAAAGATTTGCTAGAACTGGGATGAGTTGGAAGTAAAATGCTTCCTTGAATAGCATAGCGGCATATTGTGATTGCTAGTAAGGCGAGTGATTTTAACCACATCAATCCCTTCAGCTGTAGAATCAGGTCTAATTCATAGCAAGCCCAAACGTAATTTTAAACAGCCGCCACTATTCATCATACAGTGTTCATTTTTTCCCCTGACACATTCAATAAAGATCAATTAATTTGATTATAATTTGCAAACACGAGTTACCTGCAGTGGGACTATGAGAGAGAAATCTTATGATTGGTACTGACTTTTGTTCTATCATCTCTACCTCAAATTTAGCTCTTTCACAATAAGAAAGGACTATCTTCTTTCATTCGTCTGCTCCCCCCGTCTGATAAAGGGGCTGCTTTTGTGTGTAAGCTGTGTGGAACAAACTGAGAACTGGTTTATGTCTTTGTAGATTCGTGTTTCTAGGGTCTGATTCCAAAGACTATAGATTTTTTTTCTCCTCCTTGTTCCTTGAAACGAGGAATGTCACTGATTCATTAAATGTGAATGAAATATACGTGTTAAAGCTGTAATTCAATAAATATAACTGATATTTTGTTGATGATTCATGGTACATTTAAATGCATTGCTCCTTGTAATATTTGATATTATGTAACAGACACAGAGTTTCTGTGCACATTAATGCAAAATAAGTTGATGCATTTCAAAAAGACATATTCATTTAACTTTCTTTTGTTTCTTTTTGTAGAAAATGCCATTTTTACTAACTAGTGCAACCAACTTAAGATAACTGAGACAATAGGTGAAACGTGTAGATAGTATATGGTTCAAAGTATCATACCAAATAGATTATATATATGTTTTGTTTGTGAGTGCAAAGTCCTTTTTCTATCCCTTCTTTGAAGCTGTAATATGCTTCCTTGATAAACATTTTGTTTCCAAATAATGCTAGTGCTTTTTTGTTATCATCCCTCGAGCAAGACGCCTTTGCGTCGAGCCAATTTTGCAGTGTTACAGTACTATGCTTCATTATTATATGTGTTGAGTATAAGAGCTTCTTTTGAGCTACGTTTGAAATATAGTGTGCAAAAAAAGTTTTTGTTTTGTTCTTAAGAAAACAATTTTTAGTAATAACAATAGAGAGAAACCTGTGTTATGTATAGTGTGTTTGCAGGATGCATGGTGTTAATCTAATGGCCCTTAGATTGATTGAGTTGTAATATTTGTTATGTGTGAGAGTTGCTTATCGAATGAACGCTGAAGACATTGCTAAGAACCATCGTACGTATATATTTTTTGTAACCTATTCTCATTCTTAAATAAAGCACTTTTAGGGTATAGTAAACTACACATGCAGACTAACAACAATCAACAATGATTTGTAATATATTTATATCGTGTGCTGTGTTTTGCACTAGTTTCTCTTAATACGATGCAATTAATTTAACCTTGAGTAAAGAAACCCTTCTTAGTACATAATTTAGTGAACTTCCTTCTTTAAAAAAAAATCATAAGGAAAGAACAATTAGTTGTTTTAATGTAGGTCTACATTACTTTAAATATTGTTAGTATTAGCAAGCAGATATGTTGGTTTTGTAGTCCTCTTGTTATCATTATACCTGACTTTCGATCATATAAAGTGATGAAGACCGCATTATATTGTTTTGTCAGTTGACAGGCAGAAGGGCATTAATCTGAATACTTTTTTTCCAAAATGTTAACGCCTTTCTGCCTCTCAATGAGTGACAGTTTGTTGAAATATTTTGTATTTAACCCATCAGTTTGAGTGTATTTTTTGTGTGAGTGTGTGTGTGTTTCTTTCTCTTTTGATTTTAAATAATGTTTTTTTTTTGTGCCAGCCTGTCTTTGTTAGGTAACTTGCCAACTTCCTAGTATCCAACAGAGGGCAAATCCACATGCGGGGAAAAAAAACAAATCTGCACAGCGATATTAAAACATTGATTTGATCATGAATCTTTGTTTTGGGGGGTACAAAATATCCTCCTCACAAACAGCAGAGAACAATCATTACTGGATTCCATTGGCTGAAATGTGAGAAATTCAGAAGAATAATTTTTGCAAGTTGAAATGCAGGGAAATGCCAAACTCTTCAGGTAATTTCTCCTACCATTCAAAACATTCTGTTGATTTTCGTTAGCCTTCCATGTTCAAGATGTGGTACTTTGCAAATTAAAATATCATCTCTTAAGAGCCAGGGGGTGTTCACACATAGTAAAATGGTGTGGAGTCAACACCCATCTGGCTCTGAGCTTGACGATATAATAGCGGCAGTATGAACTGATTGTATTATGGTTGTATCAATCAATGAGAATATAGCTCTCATCCATGCCGAGCAAACGTATGGGAAAGAGGCCTTGTAATTCCAATACTGTCCATGTGGAGTTGCCCAGAATCGTGGAAATCTGTTGTAGAGCCTTAATTCTTCAGGGTATTTTGTAAACCAAATCAACTACTTTGTTGTTGTTGTTGTTGTTCCTTCCTACTTGTCCATATATGAAATGTGTGATCTATTCATGTCTTTTTTATTTAAAGTTCCTTCAAGAATCAAAGAGTTCCGTGTTGTAATTTCAAGCCATACGTATTGGGTCTGTCCAATGTATAAGCTGTTACCCATTGCACTTCTAAATGTTACCTAATGGTTATGTTAAGTTTCACAGCGTGACTAATTATCCCACATTTCTCCATGTCCCCCCCCCCCCCCCCATATTTTGTATTTCATTGGGTTATTCTATTTCATGCAAATGTAATATTACTGCTTTCCCTTTGATAGCAACAAACCACCAAATTCATCCTCACTTTAAGTCAGTATATACATGTAATTCCTTTGTAATCCCAAGCTTACTACTCTGTGTCGATAGTTCGTTTAGTTTATACATCAATTAGCAATTCACTGTGATGTCATGATAACTGTACGAAAAAGCCATTAGAGTTGCTCAAGCTTGGTGAAAGTGTACTCGGTAAATATGTAACTGACTTATAATGAAATACGGTGTAAATGTTTTGAATAGATATTTTTGTAAAAGAAATTAAAAAAAAAAAGATACACTAAGTGCATGAAAAGTTTCTGAAGTTACGATAGGAGTGACATAGGCCTATTTGCAAAGACCCACCAGTGTTCAAATATACCTTTCTTGTATGGGTGTAGATCGTTTATATATTTCTAGCCATGTAACTGTGACTGTCATTTCTATAGTGTCTTGGTGGATAGAGTGCAGAGTGCTGTACCCCATGCCTTATGTATATTCAAAAGCCTCCATTGGCTTTTTTGTCTCTGAGGTAATAGCATTGATTTGAACTTGAAAATAGGAAATAATACAGTAATAAATGATTAATGTTACTTTGAACCTCAGAATAAAAGGAAAAATATTTAAAAGGTCTAGGGATAACATTTGGAAATCAAGAGACTTTTATACTAGTAAGCCCTGGAAACATGCTCAAATATTTCCACATTTTCTGCTCTGGAAATGCATGGTTTCTCTTTGGGGAGGGGGTCTAAATTCTGATAAAAAAGTTGCCTTGAAAATATACATTCTGCCCATTTGCAGCATGTTATAATTATGTAGTTTATAACTTGGGAAATAATTGTAAATCATGGATTTGGAAGTTTAGCAAATTAGTTTAAATTGTAAATTCTCAAGGTATGCAGAATGCTAGCTTAAATCAATGCTATTACTGTTTTAAAGGTGATATATATACATAATTTGTTTTAATAACTCCATGGAACGATACTCAAATGAATTTCATAATCCCTAAAGAAATAAAGTCAGATTTGTTAGGTGCACCTTTAACATGGAATTTTAACCAGCTTCAAAATTCACATTTCTCTCCCAAATTTTCATACTTCACTCAGGGATAAAGCTATAACAATAAAAATTGTGTTTCTTCTCCTAAGCGCAATTCTTTGAAGGAATTAATTTTTTTTTCTGCAATGAAGTTCATATATTGTCGACTGGTTGCAGAATAAAGGTATTTTTCATAATTTTAAAGTAACGATGCAAGCTAGAACCCATTAATCAATGAATATAACAAATCAATATTTCAATGCAGAGTAAGTCATTGAATTCAGGCATTTTTAGAGACTCTTTTGTTCATAATGTTAATAGCTTTTTGAAGAGCATTCTTGTTTAGGCGGCTGTTTGTGTGTGGATGTTTATAACCATTTGAAGTTGTTCTGGAGGCTCCTTGCTATTCTACATAACGCTCTGTTTCAGCCATGCTCCGTTTTACTCTAAAGAAAGAAACTATATGAAAATTGTGGTGATTTTGTGTTACTGTTTGATGTTTCTGGTGTGAAATCTATATACTGGTTTCTTGTTTAAAGATTTGTAACAACAATTTTAGACCTTTATGCAGAAATAAACGGGTATAGTCTGTGATAATGAAATTTAGAGGTTATTGTCGTATGAAAGATAAATATAAGGGCTTATAAAGATATTTTTTGAGGGATTTGTATTCCCTGGAAAGGAAATGTGAGTTTGTAGCCAGGCTTCAATTTTATGTTGCTAATATTTTTCTGAAATTTATAAGATATTTTTAAACTTTAAATGAAATTATTGATAAAAAAATAAATATAATGTAAACTCTACCAGAAAGAGAGGTGATACTTTCTCAAAGTGTAATGATGCAAAATAATCCTCAAAATGTAATTACCAATGGTTCTCTTCTGTTTTTTTCTTCTAATTTATTTCTTCTTTGGCATTAGGGGATGTAAACACATCAAAAAACTTGTATTGGTACATTTGCAAGATCTTTTTCATGAAGTTTTTGTAAGAGTAAGAGTGATAATTTTCTCTTCATTCTAATCTATTGCAGAATCCTTTTTTGCATTTATTTAAGCAGCTGTTTCTTTGTATCCCTTTGAGAGGTCTGATATTTTTTACCCATTAGTGTTGAGCTATGAAGGGGATTAAATCAATCAGGTAATTTACACTTCAAAATTCGGGCAACTGATATACAGCATAGTGTGAGTTTTTTTTTTTAACCATCTTACAAAATTAGTTATTTTGTGTTTTATTCTCCCTTTATTCCCCCTTTTAGGGTGCTTTTTGTTTGCCATTTTATTTAGACTTTCATTTTGCGATCATTTCATTAAGAAAATAGATGAATATTCTTCAGGATGGACTTCTATAAAGTGCAAGGCTTGAGTAAATGTGATAGGAATAGTGGGATTGAACAAAGATAGAAGTGAATCAACTGGAAACTGCCAAGATAAATCATGAAGCTGGAGACGAAGAGTGAAACTGAGACGATGAATCTGTTTCAAAGAAGAGAACATATGTACACAAGTCTTTGATTTTATCTGATTCCTTCCAAAAAAATTTTCCCTTTTGCTCATGGAATTTGTGATGAAATAAGATGACTTGTGTACTATTTAACTTTGTTTTTCAAATGAAAACGGCGTAAGTTGTGTCTTGTTTTTGATTAAGATTGTAATAGATGAAATTTGAAATAGCTATTTCTGTTCTTATGTAGACTGGAAAAGGGTTGACAAATCTTCGTGTTTTTTTTCCAGACACCATACTAGCATTCCATTTCTTTTAAATGTGACATTCATGAGTAGTTACAGCTTTCTCGTAGCTCAATACTCTCTTTTTCCAGAAAATTTTGTGTATGAAATTCGTAGCATATTGTAGAAGAGGCAGAAATAAGATTAGATTGTGATTTAGGGCAATTCGATGAACTGAATTTAGATGAAGTATGAAATATGATTGATTTGACGAATGTAAATAGAATGGTTCTCTCTTCAGAGTTTGTACAAATGGTTCGTAAACAAAAAAGAAAACAAAGAAATTGCAGGTTCGAGATCGGTTGTATCATAGGAGGAAAAGCTGAGAGGAATTGTAAATGCATTGAACAAGTGTTTTTTAAAAGCAAGATTTTGAATGGATTTTTTTATTATTGAAAAGAAGAAACTGATTTTTTTAAGGATGTGATTTTTTTCCAATGAAATGAACATAAATTCTATCAGTGCGCTTAAAACAGAATTTCTGGGAACTGGGAAGATTACAATTGCCATGTATCTTTCACCCCTTTCTACGACATTCATGCCTGTACAAGATGTATTATTGACATCACAGTCTTGTGTATCTCTCTCTTCCTAATTTTCTCACTTCTTTCTCGAATCTTAACAAGGTTCAAAGTATCTTTGCCATTGGGGAAAGGTTTTTTTTTTTCTTCTCATTATTGATGATGTGATTTTTTTGAAGTGAGGAACAAGGAGGTTTGCGATTGGCTCAGGATTACGTCTTTGTATTTTTGTGTGGACAACAATTAAAAAAGATGCGTCTTCTTGAGAAAAAAGTTATCTGATGACTAACTGCTTTCTGTGACTTGTCAAATGTTTGGTTGCATTTTTTTAGAGTGATAAGCAAGGAAGAGAGAGAAAGAGGGTGAGGGAGGGGGGAGAGAGAGAGAGAGACAAGAGGAAGTTAAAGAGAGTAACATAGAGAGGGGGAGTGGAAGGGGGATAAGAGAAATAGAGAAATTGTCGCCTGGGTGGCAGAAGGGCGTTAGCTCAATAATGAAACTTTAAGCAGAAGGGCGTTAGCACTAAATCGCCTCAAACTTTCATAAAAAACTGACTTATTTCCGAGAAAAAAACTGTGGCCATGTTCTACTACACAACATCTCTATTAGTCTTTTATGTTTTAAACCAATTTTCGAGTCGGAAAGCAGTTTTAATATAAAACAAATCTTTAAATGCAAATAATTCGAAAAGGAGTTTTCGAGTCGCTCGCACGCTAATGCCCTTCTGCCAGCCGGCCGACGATTTAATTGGTGAGAGGGGAGAGAGGGGAGTGGAGTAAAGTGAGGCAAGAGAAAGGAGGGAGGAGTTAGAGAGAGAGGTGGAGGATAGTGGAATGGAGGTATTGTAAAGGATGGCAGAAAGGATGATAAGAAAGGGTGATGCAGGGTAGAGTGGATGAGAGACAAAGCAGAGCCAAGATAAGCAAGGGAGGAGAAAATAGGAGTGTCGGGAGCCCCAAATTTACCAAAATTTGATGGCAAAATTTCACATAGATTGTACCATAATGTAAAAGAGGATGTCATGTAAGACACTTCTGCAAGGATCCCCCCCCCCCAAAAAAAAGGGGGAAAATATGTATGAAGACATAAATTGATAAAAGAGACATAATTTGGGTTTTCTGTTGTATACAGAAAACCTAAATTTTGTATTCTTTAATCAATATTCGACTTCAAACACATTTCTTTCGAAGATCTTTGCAGAAAAGTGTCTCAAATGAAATCCTCTTTCACATTTTGATACAATTTAAGTGAAATGTTGCCATCAAATTTTGCGGGGCTCCCAACACTTTATAAGAGGGACTTGAAGAGGGTGGTTGAGCAAGAGAGAAAGATGTGGAGAGGGGAAAAGATAGAATGAGATGTAGGAAGAGAAATGAATGAGAGATAGAGGAAAGGGGAGATAGAGTGATAGAGAGAGAGAGAGAGAGAGAGAGAGAGAGAGAGAGAGAGAGAGAGAAAAAATATGGCAATAATTATTACTGTGATGAAATTAATGATAATGATGATGATGATGACAATAATTATTTTGATCCTGGCTATTATGATGATGTTGAGGATGATGATGGCAATGATGGTGGTTGTGGTTGTGGTGATGGTGATAATGAAAGATGACAGGGTCTAATAGGGGTAAAGATTCTGGAAGTAATAATTGTTATAGTTTTTAATCTTATTTCATTATTGAAAATAAAAAGAATGACTAAAGCTTGTCTATGAGCCCTATCAGGAAGGCCTATGGGTCTTAGGGCGTAAGCAATAATACCAACATGCTCATTTTTAATTGATGGAACATCCTCTATTAGGGGGGGGGGGGGGGGGGGAGAGACCAGACATATTTGCCTTAGCACTCATGTAAAATATCATTTACATCAGCTGTTGCCCATAAAGTTGGAATAAAATTTTTCTTACATCTTTTCATGAAATGAAATACGATTAATTCTTGATGGATAAAATTGATGAATTTTATTGATAATCAAAGATTGATCAATGAAGATAAAGAAAGAAAAAAAAAGTAGATAAATAAATATATAAATGAAGAAATAAAGAAAGAAAGAAAGAGAGAAAGAAAGAAATCCTGTTATTGATCGCGATTGCGTTATCGTTATCTAGACTATACGATACTAAACTCCAAGATGGCGGAAAAAATTGTTGTCTGTTTCTAAGACGGCCGAAAATATATTTAAACTGAAAATTTCCATCTAAGAACCACCATGCCGCCGAAGCGACCATCTTCAGCTCGAAGGAACATCAAGCATGTCACATTTTCACCATTTGTTAGGTATGTTGAGCAATTTTGTATGATTTCTATAGCAATTTATCTTGGAATTAGTCGCAGTTGAATTTTTCAGTCCCACTCGTGTAGTTTTGTGTTTTGATGAGTTTTGTGTTATCGTTCACTGATCTAATCAAAGTTAGCCAATCAAATCAAGTTGACACTCGGGCATGGAGAGTGCATACGAAATTAAAAAATTCTGTATTGTAAATCATACATAGCCTGTGCAAAAATATGTTTTACTCTTGCATTAACTTGATTTGAGATCTAGATCAAGTCAATTGCCGCGGCCGAGTCGGATCAAGACTCGACTCTCGAGTCGAGAGTTGACAATGATGCGTGATGTCAATGATTGTTGAGCCTGTGTAGTGTTGAGAGTTGAACTCCAAGTTTGGTTTGGTTTGATTTTAAGTGATAGAGACAGTGTCAGATAGTTTCATCAAACTTTCATGTGATCTTATGTAATATTTCAAAGCTCAGGCCTCAGCACCATTGAAATGTCATTCTAACAATTTGAATGTCTTTGCAACATTTGATTTGTAGGGTGTCTGATCGCGCACACGGTTTTGTATCCTTCCCATAGAGATTGCATGCATCCCTTTGCAGTCTACGTGCATTGCGCGCTCATGTAAAATTGGTCAATGTCTTTATTACCAAATTGAGATTCAAACCTTTATCGCTCGTGATCCTGAAAGTGATACTCAATAAATGAGGTGTCATATGAAAGAGCAGGTTTTTCTCCATATTTCCCAAAGGGGGTCATCTCAGAACTCTACAGTTAGGGTGTCTGATTGCGCACCCGAAGTTGTGTGCTAAAATTCTTCCCATAGAGATTGCACGCATCCCTATGCAGTCTACGTGCATTGCGCAATCATGCAATTTTTAAAATTTTTAATCGAGATTCAAACCTTTATTCTTTGTGATCCTGAAGATAATACTCAATAAATGAGGTGTCATATTAGGGTGTCTGATCGTGCACCCGATGTTGTGTGCTAAAATCTTTCCCATAGAAATTGCACGCATCCCTATATGGTCTATGTGCATTGCACGACCAAGCAAAATTTGGTCAATGATTTTATGAAAAATTTGAAATTCAAACCTTTATAACAAATGATCCTGAAGGTGAAACTCAATAAATGTGGTGTCATATGAAAGAGCAGGTTTTTTCCATCTTCCCCATAGGGGGCAACCCCCGGAATTCTAAAAATATCTTGCTCAAAACAGCGATTTAAACATCATTTCCATGGTAACTTGGAAATTTACCAATTTCACGAACTGCTCCCCCGAGGGATAAGTTGGGCCAGCTGTAAAGAATGTATCCATGCACTTATTTTTTCTCTAGTCCCAAGGTCTCATTTGGCACAACAGTTTGAAAATACCCTTGCTCCATGCTTTGCATATCGTGCTGTGCATTAGCTGTGCAGCTTTTGAGCAGAAATTATAACTCTGCGTGAACCACTTTTCTGTCCATTCTGACCAAAATGCTATGAATATTGCACAGTTTTTGAGGGGCTGTATCTTTTGATAGAAGCATTGGTGAGTCTTGAAATTTGAAAGGTATTATTCTGATTACATTTTTTATTCCAATATCCAACAAAAATTGTGAAAAACGATCCCAAATTGAAAATTGAAAAATCGTTCATGCTAGGAGTCCACTGGGCCAGCGCCAGTTGGTGCCAGTTGGCGCCAAAGATTATGTGATTGGCGCATAGTGGCTCGCTGTGGCACCGAATAAATGTCCGCTCGGCATGTGTCGCCAAGTGTAATAAACTGGGTGCCATATGGCGTGCGCCAAATGCCCCCCGCCTGCATTTGATTACAAAATTCACCCTGTTGGCGCCATTCGCGCCAATAGACTGCTACTTTGCGCCACTTGGTGATTAGTTTGTGCCAAAGGTCGCCAAATTGGTTTGAACTTGCCGCCGCTTGGCGCTACTTGCCGACTATATAAATACCGGCCATTGGCTACCTGGTTTAGACCCTCCTCAGTTGAAAATTGTGTGAAATCTTGTAGAAATTGTGAAGGAAAAACTGCGTGGAGGTGTTGTCGAGTCGAATCTTGAAAGTTGTGTGAGAAAGTCCTGCGATGCCGCCCTGCTTTTATAGGTGGCAAGTGGCGCCGAATGGCGGGCAACCAGGTGGCATTTGGCGCGAAGTAGTCACCAATCGGGTGCCGTTTGGCTCGCGCCACTGCACCTTTGGCACGCTTTGGCGGGCTATCTGCCTCTGTTGGAATTATTTGGCGCGTAGTGGCGCAAACAAGGTGCCACTTGGCGAAAATGTGGCGCGAAATCTTATTAGCGCAACTTGGCGCGCGCAATTACATTCCAGTGGATTCCAAAAGGCGGATTGTTTGCGCAAAAGGGCGATATGTTCGCGCCATTTGGTGCCACTTGGCGGACACTTGGCGCTGATTGCTCGATGCAAGTGGCGTGACGAAAATTTCAAACATTTTGAAATTTTCTTGCTGCCACATTCAAATTTGGTGCTGTTACGGGCCCCCACGAGCCAGTTGGGAGGCAGTTTGAGCCACTACACGCCACTAGGCGCCACAGTAAATTGCATTGGGGCAAACTGGCACCAACTGGCGCTGGCCCAGTGGACTCCTAGCATCAGACACCCTAGTCATATGAAAGAGCAGGTGAATCCCCATATTTCCAAAGGGGTGTCATCTCGGAATTCTAAAAATATCTTTGGTCAAAACAGCGATTTAAACATTGTGTCCTGGCTAACTCCGAGGTTTGCCACTTTTGAGATATGACACCCCGAGCAACAGGTAGTCCCAGTCGTAAGGAATATATCCATGGCCATGCACTTATTATAAATGGATCACAAGGGATCACAAGCCATTACAGTTTGATAATTTCCCTTCCCCCCATATTTCGGATCAGCTAAGTAGGGAGGCGTGAGCTCCGCTCGGCCCAAACCGCGTGGAATCTGCACATGCATATATATATATATGCATTCGTAAACACACGCGGGACCACATGTGTGTTTTTGTGAATTGGCATACAGACCTGCACACGAAAGACAACAGAGGTGAAGCTTGCAATCGCGCTGAAGTAGCACATGCAGCTAAAGCAACACGCGTACGCTTGCATATTGCGCAATGCAGCTGCTGTGCTAAATTTAGCAAAACAAAACAATTTCTGCGTGTACTTTTTTCGTTGATTCTGACAAAAATTGGATGAATATTGCCTAGATTTTGGGGGGCTGTATCTTTTGATAGAAAATTAGGAGAGTCTTGAAATTTGAAATGCATTATTCTGAGTTAATGTTTTTTTCTATTATCCAACCATAATGGTGAAAAACGATCCCAAATAGCAAATTTGAAAACTCGTCGAAATCGTGTCTCAAAATGAAAATAATCTGCAATGTTATATCTCTCCGTTGCATGTTGTTTTTCATATTGATAGTCTCTGTTCCAGTAATCAACGCCAATCAAAAAATAAGCCACAGAAAACTTATTCCACATCGCATACCTATGTTGCACACATGAAAAATCTCATTTTTTGACTTTTGACTTTTTTATGTTCTTAACTTTTTTTTATATGGAGTAGACATCAATTGTTTAATGTCAATTCCAAAGTGATGTAAGCCCGTAACATGCAAGGTGTGCCACGGTGCATGTAAAAAGTTTTATGACAAGGACAAGAGGCGTGCCTAGGGAAATAGTCTTACAAGGCGCATTTATACTGTCAAATACCTCGTTTCGAAAATTTGCGATGCATGCTCCCATTTACACTTGAAATGTACTGGAAAAGGGTAGGGCCTGCTATTTTTAATTGTCTAAGTGGGTTGGTGGGGGTGTGAATATACTTATTGTCTACCGGTATTTGATTAAATATAATATTAAATTGAATTTGTATGTGCAATGTATTGCTATTTATTCATGTGTATTTGATTTATTGTCTTGTTTCTTTTGTAAAAACATGTTATGTATTTTAATTGGATCCCTATGGAAAACAGCTGTGCTGACTATAAGTTGTTCTGCATAAATGCATGACAAAAATATTTAAAAAATCAATTCCCCCCAAGATAGTGTGATAGCTGGATTCAAAAATTGTTGGATCAATGTTCCTTTGTGTGTAAATTCTGTAAACATATACATTGAATGTGCTTAATGTCATGCCTCAGTGAACATGCTACAATTGTGAAATATGTTCTTTATGTACTACACGAGTGCATGAATTGAATCTTCTGCCTGTGCAAAAATACAATGGCAGTGGCACTGACGATTTTTAGGACAAATGTTATATATATCCTAAAGGTGATTGAGTCTAATAAAAAAAAATATCTATTCATAAATTGTCTGAATTCTGCCATTTATAGCACTTTGTTTTGTAACCTTAGCTCTTATGATCGGAGTTGTTTGCATAGTCCCTTGTGTGTGTCTTCAGTGGAGGCTAAATTTTTAGTGGCAAAGTTAAAGGATTTCTTTATTATTGTACATTGCAACTGTTTCTGTATGTTCAATCTTATTTTACATAAGACAATTTTGACATGTATGTCATATTTCCTGTAGCTTGATGTTTAGCAAGTTGAATCTTCATTGTCTGCGTAGAATAAATGATAAACAGGAATACAAAGTTAATCTTGGAACATCAGTGTTTCTGCTTTGTTTATTTATTATTTAATTTACTTTTTTATTGTTTTTTCTGTTTGTTTCAATTTTAATTTTTTCTTCTTCTTTGTCTGATTCAGTTGTGCCAGGCTTCGTCATGTCCAATCCTTGTTGAGAAACCCTGGAGAGACAGACTCTACTAAACCAGATGCTATCCTCTGTATCTTGGGTATCGACTGCAGGTAGGCAAAAATCATTTATAATTATTATTCACTGACAAATAGTGTTCTTACAATAATAATGCTCGAATTATATTTTATTCTTGACATATCAGGGCTAATGACTTCAGGGGGTGTTTCACAAAGACTAAGATCAAATTTAAGTTGGACTTAACTATGGCAGGCCATTCCCCATTCATAACACTGTTTGCTCTCACCATTTACTGGCATAGGTTTCTCAAGGGACGTACAAATGATGGTCACAAATCTACAGAATTTATATTTTTTTATATCATTATTGAAGGAAAAAAAATGTATCTAAAGATCATAATGGTGAGAGCAACCAGTGGCATGAATGACCTGCTATAGTGAAGTCTAACTTAATGTTGATCTTTGTCTTTGTGAAACACCCCCTGGATGTATTAATTATTTATTCAGATCAAAATAACATCATTTTTGTTTTACTGCTGGAAATTCTAGAGCATTTCTTGTATCCTAGAGTCATTATAATATTCATTTGACACTATATTTATTATTTGTTCATTATGTTTAAAACTCTGATATAGGTACAATGAAGGCAGCAGAGAACTTGCAAACTACCTTCTGTTTGGATTCTTTGACACTCGGCAGGCAGAGCTTGAAAGGTTTGTTTCTCCGCTTGGTGTTCAACATATTATTTGAGAAATTATTTGAGATTCAAATTCTTGTAGGATTAGACAGAATGTTGTGGGAGGAAGAAAGGTATACAATGAGTCCTAGAAAAAAACGAAACCAAGAATTATAGATTTTTTATAATAACTTAATCAATATTATGATTAACAAATGACACATATTTGTAAAGCTTAGATCCTCCTCTTTCATTTGATGCAACTTATATGATACATATTTCACGCATGAGTGATTAAAAACAATTTCAAGAAAGGGTACCAAAAAGTCATTTGGCAAGCGGTATCTGAATTCCAAAGAGAAAATCACATTTCTAGAAATTTCATTTTCTGCCCTTTCATACATGTATGACACCTCAATGAGCCAGGAATAACAAAGTTCTGTTTGTTTAAAGTAATGCTTGCATTTCCATTATTTTATTAAAGGAATCCGATCCACTGGCTGTCTGCCCTAACAACAAAGAAGACTAAAGACTTCATGCATGGCTGATTGTCAATGAAACAGAGTTTGATGTTTGTTGTTACGGCAGGCAGCCAGTGAAAACTAATTTGTTTGCACTGTATAGACAATGGATAATTGTGATCTTATGATATGGATGATTATGAGATTGATATGAGGGATTATAAGTTGTTAAGCCAGTGTTAGTGATTTTTTCCAATAAGATGATAATAAAACCAAACCATCTTTATGATCTATTGACATTAACATAAATTCTTGACTTGAAAACTACTTTGTGGTAAATGTGATTTGAATGATTATCATCTACAGTACATGTGTTCTTGCCAGTGTGTATTAAAGTAATGAGATGAATTTAATACATTTTGGCCTTCTACAAAATGTCCCACATCACATGTAAAACCGACTCAATTTTGCAACTTTATACCATTCCATGATATATGCACGTTACCAGCGCAATACAAACCAAATCAATGTGCAATCTAAATTGGAAATATAACTCAATGCTCATAGCATGTTCTGTACACAATAGCTATGTTGCATGGTTACAAGGTTTCAGCACATTTCCTTGATATCAGTAATGGCTCCTCTATTTAATTGCTCCTCTTTGTCATGCGGCTATCATATTTCATTAATGGGAGCACTAAAATGAAATCAATACATGTACATTTCACATGTCTTAAAGCAAAAGCAGATGTATTTCAAATGATTTTTACTTATAGATAGTCATGAAGTGTATTTTTCCAACAGTTTGCAATTGGCATTGTAAATAAAGAGACATTTAATGATGAGATACAATATAATAATAATAATAATATTTTGTTCTTTTATAGTGCATTTCATGTCTGTTGACATTTCAATGTGCTTTACAATATATACATATAATTATATAAAATATAACTAGATCATAAAGGAAGATGAGTAAACAGAAGCATATATATATATATATATATATATATATATATATATATTTATAATTATTAATGGGGCGTTGCAAGAAAGTTGAGTTGCGATCAATGGCAAATTTGCAGTTAATCGCAAGACTTACGCTTGAATTTGGGGATTCGCAATTGATTGCAACTTTTTTTCAACGCCCCTTGATTTTTTTCCTTTAACCCTGAACCATACACTATATACCTAACCCCAACTCTACCCCTCAACCTTACCTAAGACATAATTGCATCTCTTACCATAATCCTTTATCTTGAAATGAAACTTGTCGGTTTAGCAATGTCGGGTCACCAATATGGTATGAGATTAAAACAACCTTTCGGTTCTCAACAAATGATAGTATTTTCATGCATGGAGGCATTCTACAGTACAATGACTTTTGTTTTCAACCATGTGTGTATAATAAATTGCAATGTTGTTTTCACATGGTTTCAATGATTCCTTTTTATCATTGTCTTAATATAGTTCTGGTTTTGCAGAGGAAACGATCGATGGTAAGTTTGTGTAATTCAGTCTATGCACAGCTCTTAAGTATTTCCTTTAGTGCCAGATTGAAATGTCAACTCGTAAACAATTCAAGTTTTTATTTCCATGTTTCTAAACAGCTATTTAACAATTAATGGCAAGATTTCACTTTCTGAAAATAAAAGAAGCATTACAAGGCAAAAATTTGATGGGAAGCAAGGAAACCAAAAAAGAAACTAACACAACTGAAATTTCTCCCCCCCCCCCCATACACATGAATGTAAAGAGGTACATGTATAATTAAAGGTAAAGACCAGTATTGGAAACGCCCCAATTTCAAAAAATGAAATGGAAGCTCTCATTACCAATCATGTGAAAGAATATGTTTTGACTAATACATGATGATAAAAACTTTGCCGGGAAACCGCCTACTAATTCATATATTTGGTAAATTTGTTTCTCTCATGGTCTGTGAGAGATATAGGGTAGTCCCATATACATCTTTCTGTGTATAGTGCTTGTAACTTTACGAAGAATGGGCCAAATTTCTTATCATTTTGATGATTCCAGAACCTTGCAGATGCTAGATGCTAGATGATCAACCTTTTCTGATCGATTCCACAACGTTTCTTTCACAATGCAATCGCATGACCATAACTGGTCTTTACCTTTAATGAATTACTGAACTGATGTCAACATACCATGCTTGTCCTCTTTTCTGATGGTACATAATTGATTATGTGATAAGGATCAATTGTCAAGTTTCTCCCCCACCCACCCCTCCCCCCCCCCCCCCACTTGCCCCAGTGAAACTTGTAGATTAAACAGTGTATCTTACTCTTGCATTGTACGCCCATATCTGAGACACGTTTTGCAACAAACAAGTATCGTCACAGAAAATGTCTTTCAGACAAACCTAGCAAGATCATATGCCAATACAAAAGGTAATTTCATTTTGGAAATGATGTACATTTACATAATCGTTTTCAATATTATCTTTTTTCTTCCATGAACGGACAGTCCTTCCCTGAGATAGATTTAAATCTGGTTTAAAAATAGGGGCGAGGTGAAGCGCTGTTATTTCCATGACTTGCTTGAATGCCTCGCGCAAGCCCTCGGCACCTCGTTTCGCTCAGATTTCTAAAACTTTTTTTTTTTAAACCTCACTTTTTATTTTGGCACTTACTATCACCCCTGGTTGTAGTGACATTCCCTTCATTACATGTATGTTCACACTTTTATTGGGGGGGGGGGGGGTGGGGGGAGGGGCTGGGGTAGGTGTTATCCTATTTTATTTTGAAATTTTGTAATAGATGATTCTCTTCTGTTTACGTCACTCTAAAGTGTCCCAAGGCACCTAGTGTAATGGTTTGTGATCCATTACCTTTGATGCCAATAACAGACCTTGGGATCAACCACCGACAGCAATACCATATGGAATACACACACCATTTAATCACAATTTCAATCATACTTGTATCTCCATTTCAACACCGTCCATGACCTTGCCGGTTCATGTATGAGTGGTAATTTTCTAACGGGCTTGACTAATATTTCCCCCTTGATTGTCGACGCCGGCCTGATAGCATCAGCTAGTGAACGACCTTTCATGAACTACAAGCAGCTCTTTGTGTCAGTGAAGAAGAGTATCTATGGATTTGAGGAGAGGAGTCAGAGCAAAATTTTTAAAAAGTCAGGAAAGAGAGAGAGGAAGAGGGAAGGAGAGAGTCGTAGAGAGAGAGAGAGAGAGAGGGGAGGGGGGTTGAAGGGAAAGAAAGAAAGAAAGAGAGAGGGAGGGAAGGGTGGGGTGGGGGGGGGGGGGGGTGGAGGGGTAGAAAGAAAGAAAGAAAGAGAGAGGGAGATATAGATACATGCACTTGGAGATATATAGATAATATAGATAGATATGTATACATGTATTATAGAGAGACACACACACACATTTTTTTTGTTCAAGGGAGAAAGAGAGTGAGAGAATGTAGAATAAAGATCGAGAAAGATGTATACATATCAAACTACTTTACACATGTAGGAGTATTAGGTTTGTAGAGATAAAGAAAATGATTTTAAAAGATGCTATAGGAGAAGTATTGCGATTTGTAGAAGTGGCTAAATGGATCATTTGGGAAGGAGTCAAAATCATTCATGGACTTTAATAATGCAACTTTCTTTCACCATCATATCAGGCCATATTTAGCTTGTAAAGAGAAATATGATTTTCCATATCAGTGATCTTCACACATTAAAGCCTAGTTAGGCCTCATTGACCCTCGTTAATGTCTGCAAGTTACGCAACTTTCCTTTTAATAATTTAATGAGGAGCCAAGACAAAAAACCCTCTCAAGGTACAATGTAGAATTTTACAATATCCTTGATTTCATGTAATGTGAATATACAAAGATGTATAATTTTACTCCTCAGTGATATTCACACATCAAATGATGAGAGGAAATTGTATCTAGTGGATGCCTGCCAAATTGGCAATTTATGTTAATGTGAATCTCAAATAAATGGCCGGTTCAATCTTGTTGAGTCTCGCTCAAAACAGTCTTGATAGGAGAAGAGGAAGAAGGAAGAGGAGGAATAAAGACAGGAGGAGAGGAAAGGTACTCATATTCAGAAAGAAATATAAATATGTAAAATAGCCTGACATTCAAAGGAACATTTGCTTTTCTAACTATAAAAACCATGAAATACTTGTTTCTTCAAACCATTTTAAATGATGCATACACTTTCATGGAATGTGATCACGACCATGAATCATTGTCTATTTTTCATGCGGAATATAAATAATCATACGAAGTTGGGTTTTTTCATGATGAACTGCATGTACAATAAAGGTCAAGTATGTTTGTCTCCCTATTGCGATAATGGAAATGTCTGAAGTGGAGCCGTGGAAATGTTTGAGGTGAAATACATGCGGGTCAAGTATTCTGTGGTATACATGATACATCTGTAAGAAGTTTCATTGCATGAATTGAAGATAAAAAAATATGATATTGAGGTGAAATATACAGTCAACAACTAAATTATTCATACCCTTTGTAAATGTGATGTATATTGTGTTATTTGTAACTAAAAAAATGACTGGCTGAATTAGGGCCTTTCTTGAATACTCTTAGGTGTTAGCTTTAATATGTCACATTCTCAAGAAACATAAATAGGGACAAATCAATTTTTTCACAAAATTGCAAAACTTGTTAAGGGTATGAAAAATTTAGTTTTTATATTTATGTGAGTCAAATTTGCAGTATAAAGCAGAAAGGGAAATACAGTCAAACCTGCTTTAGTGACCACCTGTCTACAAAGACCACCTGTCTACAAAGGCCACTTTTTGTGTTTCTCTTGGGTGGTCGCTATAGACGGGTTTGACTGTACTTGCATTGATGTAAAGAGAAGAGTCCAGGGACCCGTTTCTCAAAGCCCTTTTTCAATCACAAATGACAAAAATCAGTGACAAATCTGCTGATGACCAATCAGAAGCAAGGATTTCAGTAGCTTATAACAAAAACTGTCATTTGTCACTGATGACAAGTTTTGTGAAATGGGGCCTGATTACTACTCCTTTGCCTCAAGGTCTACGAGCAATTATAAATGAACTTTCAAGAGTCAGATAAATGGATTTTGTTTTTCTCCACTGTACTTCAATAGGGACACCCTTCATAGTTTATCATTTACCGTAGAACGTTCATGTTCTTTGGTTGACATTTCTGTTCACAATGAAGAAGAAGATAGATGAAATATAAGTACATTGTAGGTCAAGAAAGGAGTTTGAAATAAAAGAAATTAAAGCAGCATACTTAATACTATGTGAACATGTTCATTGTTCATAAGTGGATAAAGTTCACATTTAGTTTCCCACATCATATTAAAATGATAAAAACAAAAAACATAAACAGTATCATGCTCGTGTACATTGCTGATGTTCACAGTTAGTTTCTATATCATATCAAAAAAACAATATAAACAAAATCATAAACAGTCATTCATTTGCAGATTTAAAGAAAAAATCTAATATGACATATTCCAAAACTCCATTCATTTCAGAGAATGAAATGAAGAGATAGTACGAGAAGAGAAGAGACGTCATTACAATCAGAAATGACAAATTTTTGTCATCGTCCAATTGGCGAGATAAATTGCAAGTGTTCGTCGTGTCGTTTTGCCTTGCCAAATGGACGAAGGACAAGCCAACTAGAGCGATGAGGGGGTGATTTGGATAATGCGTGATTGAGGTTCTTCACCTGTGAAATAACTCAAGGTTTGGAGGGGTGATGGAAAGGGGGCGATGCACTCTTGGGGCTGGCTTCTGATTTCTCTGGGGACTCGTCCAAGATTGGAGAGAGAAACGCGCCACAACCTGAGATAATCATTAGGCTACGCTCGAGTACCGTCGGAGCTGTTCACATCGAGGGATAGTTCATCGTTTGAAATCTCGTTTTGTTTGAGAGCATTCTTGTGTGTGAGTAGAAGGAGCTTTGTGAGTGTTCAGATGGATATAGAATAGGATCTACATGTATGATTATCTTCGTTAGGCTATCTTGAGTATCGTCGGAGCTGTTCACATCGAGGTGTAGTTCATCGTTGAAATCACGTTTTGTTTGATAGCATTCTTGTGTGTCAATAGAAGGAGCTTTGTGAGTGTTCAGATGGATATAGAATAGGATCTATGATCATCTTCATTGGGCTACACTCGAGTACCATTGGAGCTGTTCACATTGAGGGATGGTTCATCGTATGAAATCATGTTTTGTTTGATAGCATTCTTGTGTGTGAGTAGAAGGAGCTTTGTGAGTGTTCAGATGGATATAGATTAGGATCTATGATCATCTTCGTTAGGCTATCTTGAGTACCGTCGGAGCTGTTCACATCGAGGTGTAGTTCATCATTTGAAATCACGTTTTGTTTGATAGCATTCTTGTGTGTGAGTAGAAGGAGCTTTGTGAGTGTTCAGATGGATATAGACTAGGATGTACAGTATTGCTTGAAATAAAGTAGACACATTACCACCAAGTCACACCAAGATCTA